TTTGTTTTTGCCAATATTTTGTTGAGACAATATTACTTTTCTGACTCACTCAGCTTACAACCCAAATAGATATATAAAATAATTATAGAACATTTCCTATAATCTGGATGGTCGGCAATTATTAGTATGATCAAAAGTTTCGGCGTATGGCAGCGGCATAATATACACATACATAATACAAATATTTGTGAAATGGCTCATTGGTTCAATGATGGGTAGTTGTTTCTGAAACGTATTGGAAAAGCTTAAACAAATCGCTACTTGTATACAATTTGATGTGCTCTTTCCAAATTTTTTCTTTGCTACTTCGTGTTTTTGCCGTTTGCACCACCATACTGGGAAAATGGCACCCAAAAAAAGCTTTGCTCTGCTCGTGCGCAGAACTCAACCAACTCAAGAAATATTTTATTACGTAAACCGTAGAAAATTCTTTCTAGCGTAATTCGTCATTGAGCTATTATTATGGACAAAAACTGTAACTTATACGTATACATAGTCAAAACACTCTGTTGGTAATCTTATTCCAATACGGCACCGCGTGCGTAAAAGATACGAGTTAGCAAAGTGAATGTTACAATCAAAGCTCAAGATCGATCAAAACTATTTTTTACTGGAGAAATCGGTCAAAAGTGGTTTTGACTGATCTCCTGAGAGAAAAATAGTTTTGGCAGATTTTTGCGGTCAAAAGTGGTCTTGACTGACGTTCTTTGTCAAAAGTGTTTTTGCCTGATAGTGTCCAGACTATCTGCCATGAAAAGTTGAGATATTTACCGAAAATTACCAGAACAATCATCAAAAAAGTTTTGATCCAATTACTTTTAAGGTGTAATTTTTTTTGTCCGTAATTTAACGAGACTTGCCAACTATAAACATGCAGAATCAATTATTTTTCGTAGGTAGAAACCATTTAATATTATAGTCTGCGCTTCATAGAGGAGTTCGCGACCATGGGTTTTTACAAGCTTTTATTTAACTTGACCTAATAGCTAAAGCGGGATAAATATTGTAACTGTTTTTTGAACCAGTTTACCTCGCCAATCATATGATATTGATATCAAATGACGATTTGTAATTTCAATAGCCAATCCTAGGATATGGGTATCGAATAAAAGGGCGTGATTAGAGAAATAAATCAAACAAAGTAGCGTAATTCGAAACCTAATGTGGCAGCCACCGCAAAATGGCAATTTATAATCATCTTATGTTTTGGGCATCAAATGAAAGTGCTTCATGAGAAAAACACATCAAGCAAAATCAAATATGGCGGCCGCCGCAAAATAGCAATTCATTACTACCACAGTAACCCCCATGTAACGGGTATGGAATGAAAAGACTTGATGCCTGAAACGCAATAATGATATGACAATGCAATATTCTTATGATGGAGATGATCTGATGATGGAACCGGGAGATGGCCAAGAGACCTAATGTAATAAACTGACCATTGAATTGGAACTCGTTACTTCAACTACTCTGGTACTAGAATCTGATGATTCAGTTAGTCATCTATTTTGTAAAAAAATTATCATATATAGTAACCATAGCAAAGTTCAGCTTTTCAACATTAGATAGTTCGGTAAAATATAAAATAGGTATGTTTCATTTTTTCGATCATCTGAGCAAGGATACCTAATGGAAATGTTACAGTCAAAACACATAACCGTTTAAAACCGCTGTTGACTTGGGAGATAGTGTATCTATCTAAAGTGGTTTTAACCAAGAATGTGAATTACCTATCTACGAATAGGAGTGCCTAATAAAAACAGGAATAAAAGTCGCAGGTGTCTTTGAAATCGTTCAATCATCAAACATATGATGGTTTTATATAACGTTTACTTGTCATTATGAGTTTCAGAAAAACGAAATGAAAATTTTATTGAATTATCAAGATTGTAGTCAAACAATAAAACAAATAAGATAACATTTTATTTATCAGCTGTGAATACTCTCTGTGAAAAATAATAAATAGTAAGTAGTATGAAGAGAAAATAAAATAAGAAAGTTGAATAATTTATTAGTTAGTTGTTAAACTCAATGGCAGGTTTATTGCAACATTTTAATAGTCACAGTCATATTTCAAATTCGACACTTACTATCGGGATATCAGAACGGTAAGAAATACGAAGACAGTTAAATGGGGGGCAAAGTTGCTACGTGTAATGAGTAAAAAAGTATTAAGGGAGTTTTTCAAATCCTAGTATTTCCGGCACGGGTATCACGTATCTTGAAAAGTGACATTATGCCGATTTTTTTTGACATTATGTAGGTTATTCTACAAGATGTTAACTTAGCACTTAGTTGTACGTGTTGCCTAAACGTAATGATGCTTGTTATCAATCTTTGGCTCTGATGTGATGTAAAATCTGCTTCTGAGATGGCATTACTGGAGGTCTAAGCTGTAAGTTGTATGTGTTGATGATAATTACATTGGGTTCTTGTCTCAAATACACTTAGTTGAGATTCAAAGCTAAAAATTAGTTGCGCATCCACTTTTTCTTATCCATTCTGGAAATTACATATACAAATTTGCTGAATTTCAAAAATGAGAGAGATAAGAAATATGTAATTATATTCACTGTACACTGTCGAATTACAAGCCATATACATGCTAACAGTATTTACACACAACGCGGGCGCGGTGATGATTTCCCGTAATTCTCCTCAGTTTTTCGTAATTTACAACTTTGAACATAACCTCTCTTCAGAAAGCACAACATATAAATAACCCGTCATATTCGGCATATTCAGTAATGATTTTCTCACACAGCAAATATCACTGATTTTGTACACATGCAGACCAATACACATAATCAGCCAGATGCGAACTTGCTATTCAACCAACTTTCTTCTCAGAGATAAAAACTACAGACCCGGATCACTCAGCCTCACAAAACTATGCAACCAATAATGCGTAGTTTAGTTGAGTGATTCCTCCATAGATGGACGTTCACACCGATCCTAGTGAGCAAACGTGGAATAACTGTTTGCGCCCTAAAAACTACCTAGTCTGCAAGTTGACATTTTTTAGGTTTTTTTTGACGTTTTATAGATTTTTTACATGATACCCGTGCCGAGTTAGACGAAAGAAACAAAATTTTCACAAAACGGCTTTTATTTTTGCCTGGCTTTATTTGAGATAAAAAAGATAAAAAGTGTAATAATATTGCTTTTTTTCTCCTCTATAAGATGGCATAATTGGAATTTAGATATATCGTTCCATCTCTTGCCTTTAATCATTAACTTTATTTTTTCTCAAGGACGCCACATTGGATTTTTATACAGGTGAATAGAGTTGTCAAACTTGAGTTATTTAAAAAAACTCATATTTTCATAGTTGGCTTTGAAAATGCTAGTTAATCACATGTTCATCCGATTGAATCACCAAAACTTCAGTTTTTGAGAAGCGTGATTAAAGGACATTCCGATAATTTGCTCACTTATTGACAAAAAAGCGTTATTTTAGCATGATGGAGCTGAATTACATGCGCCAGACATAGATCAATAGTATTTGAACGCAAGACGTGTCAATCGGCTTAGATATGGCGTCTATGAAATGTGTTTTTGCTTACTCTCAGTTACAATGTTTTCAATAACTCCAACACTACCCTTAAATAATATGAACAAGTTTTAGCATTAGATTGTTTTTAATTCAATGAGTTTACTCCAACAATTAGGAAGATTGCAGACATTTGAGGTTTTATAATGTCAATCCATATCATACCATCGTTAAAATCGAAAATAAGGACTGTTTGCCTATGTCCAGTTTATAAAAACTGCAGGAAAGCTTGACTGGTATTATGAAACAAACGACTATATCGGATAATTTAAAGCTTACTTAGGAAATTCTGTTTTTTTATATTTGAAGCTTCGCCAACGTAAAACGGTCCAGCGGTGCAGCGCTTTCTGCTGAATAGCGGTAGCCGTGGCATTGCTTTGACAGTTTGCAACATTAACCAACATACTATAAAATCTAAAATCCAGGAGAAAACTGTTGACAAACTGACAAAGCTATCTTTTGGCTACTAGGGTTCAGTATAAAAGCGCTGCATCGCTGGACCGCTTCACGTTGGCTAAACGGTCCCTCTGACATAGATTTAGAGCCAAAATTGAAAAATCGATTCACCTGTGCAAAAATCCAGTATGGCATCTGTAGTGGCGATACTCTGCTTATTGTACTTCTCTAACCAAGCCCTTTGATTTGATATCCATATCATAAAGTTCAAATTACATTCGTCACTTTGAGGCGGTCGCCATATTGGATTTAGAAAGACGTCACATTGCTTATTGTGTTTCTTTTTTCAAGCTTTTTCATTTGATATTCATATCATTTGGGGTTACTGTAGACATGATAGATCACTATTTTGTAGCATATTGTACGAGTATTGGATTCGAAATGGATGTATCCAAAATTTCAGTTTACTTATCTAACGCTAACTGGTTCAAAAACCAGTCACAAGATATGGCCCGCACTAGCTAATAGGTCAAGTTAGAAGCTTGCAATAAAATCTTATAAAAACCCACGGCGCGAACAGATTTTTGCCCCATTCTAAAACATAAAATAGTGTCGTCAATTAATTTTTATATGGATAATTAAAACTTCGGCTTAAGACCCTGAAAATAGTTGGATTAAAACTTTTTTAATGATTGTTGTGGTAATTTTTGGTGACTTTCTCAACTTTTTATGAGGTTTGAATCATCGTCTGGACCCTAAGTCAGGCAAAACCACTTTTGACTAAGAACCTCGATCAAAATCACTTTTGACTGCAAAAATCAGTCAAAGCTGTTTTTGGCTAAGGACATACGTCAAAACGGTTTTGACCGGTTATGAGTTTTTAGTGTAACATAGATATCAACTTTTCAAATCTTCCCCAATCCAAAACTTTTCAGGTAAAACTACCGAATGCTTGGACTATTCTTCACATATTCTATTATCTTGTTATTTTGCGATGGACGTACGTTTCCTGGCATTTCACAGCAATTAACCCGTATGCATTTTTTAGGGGGTGATCGATGCATGTGAACCCTTCAATAAGAACATACAAACCCAAACGTCGTTTATTCAAGACGATCCAAAATTGTTTCATAACTTCCAGGTATGTTCAGGTATTAGTAATAAAAATTTGACTTAGAGACGTGAAGTGTAACATTATATAATAGATACCATTAAAGGAATTTGTGTATGAATCGAATACATTTTTGCGTGAATTTTCTCATTTTAGATTACTTCCAGCGTGCCAGCATTAAGCCAAGCTCCAAGCATTTCTATTTCTGCTTCGAATTTACAGCAGTATTTATCCCCTGTGAGTATAAAAAGTAACGTTTTTCTCGACGCATATATTGCTGTTAGATTGCCAAATTATTGGGGTCCATTCAGATGCAACTACCCGGGGCGCATAGTGCGTGCACTATTAACTCTTGATTATACAGATGGTTCAGATAATCCAATATTTTGATCGTACATATCGTTTAGATGATTATCCAGATGAGAAACCTTTCAATTTTGCTCGTACGAGTATGTGGAATAAAAGTTACCCGCCATAGCAGATGACGGTTGACGTCAGGATGGCATTAATTTCGATTTTGAAACGAATGTGATTAGTTATTAGTTTCAAGAGCGTTTCGTTCTAGAGGATGGATATTTCAGATGATCTGACAAAGCTCTGTGGAATACTTCACATGTGACTTATCATTTACCTAGTAAAGCTACCGCGATTCGTAAAATTTCGTCAGTTATATTTGCCTGATTTTGGAGTCCTGATGAGAAATACTAACCAGATGTATGTCTACACATTGCACACAATAATGCCAAGATATAGCTGATATATCCGAGATATATTGCCCGTTTAGAAGCTCCATGACAGTATGTATATTAGTCTCCGCCTGGAACGATATCTTAAAGAATTATAGTCTTCTGAACCGGAAAAGCTACGGCGAATAGTATAGTAGTATGAGGAAAAGAACAAAATTCTGATATTGAAAAATAAAGATCTTTGTTCAAACATTACTTGTTCCAATTGTTGGTCAATCATTGCGCCATTAAGTCAAAATCTCTCTGTTACTGCTTGTTAGCAATCCTTTCATTTTGGTCTAAAACTCGTCTTTCAAGTTTCAGACCCCAACATCAAGAGACATGTCAAACATTTACAAACCAGTGTTTATTACTCCTCCTCCATCAGCGGTACCTGCAGGTCCCCAGTCGACATTTTGTGGATATGATGCTACCCTACCTGTTATAACCAGGCCACTATCCACTCCATGGGTAATACTTTGAATATGTAATGCGCTAAAAGGTCGAATGCAAACGGTACGGTTTCCTGAATAGATTTCGCAAATCCATATGCGGAATTCTGTGAACCCACACACGATAAATAGTCAAATGCCAGAAGCTTTAGCATGATGGGGCGGGCTGCAACGAAATCCTCCTTCAAATAAATGTACAATGTATATGAAGAGCTTAACCCGCCGAATCTGGTTCGCAACAAACATTAAACGAATTTAGACTGTGTTGAACATTGTAAAAACAAATAATTATACGTAAAAGGTAAATACATAAAGAAAACAGACAACACGTCTAGCGGAGCGTCAGGTGATCCTAGCGTGACCTTTGATTATTTTAATAAAATCCATGAAATTTTTGGCTCAGATCCATATGTTCCATATGTCCAGAAGACACCGCGAGATTTAAAAAAAAATGGAAGACTGCTTGAGTGTAACTGCAGAACAAGGTACTAAAAACAATAATAAACAACTATCTGTGAAGAAATCCTCAACAAAGATTCATGAACAATTGAAAAAAAAAATTATAACTAAGAGGTATAGAATCAATGAATCGAAAAGCTAAAGCAACAGAGTAGGTTAATCAATATATTCAAATGCTGATCAAAGAGAAAAAGAAAAGAAAAATGAGTTCTTCGTGTTGTGTTCATTGTGTCAACAGTTTCTTTTTATTTATGATAACTGTTATATAGAAATAACCTTATTTCTCCAAGTTTCATGAACTACTAGTGTGAGTGTTTTCGGAGATATATTTATGTTTACTTTGTTGTAATGCACACGACCGTCGCTAAATAGGTTATCATATATGTTATGTTTAAACGTTTGTTATTATCCACGATAGTCCAGATGATTTGAAGCATTTGACAATGCTCCGGGGAATGCTTCACATATGATTTATCCTTTAACTGGTAAATCATCAGAACGCACCCCTCTGGAATTCTAGTTAATATAATGTACCTAATGTAAGTAACCGCGATGCGTACAATTTGCTATGTGTCTACACATTGTAAACAGTATTGCCAAGATATAGTCGATATATATCCGAGATATACAGCCGGGACACAAATATTGCCCGTTTAAAGGCTCCATGACTGTATATCAGTCTCCGCGCCGAACGCTACCTTAAGGGATTAAAGTCTTGGACGCTACGACGAATTGTATAGTAGTACGGGGCAAATAACAAAATTCTGACATTTAATAATAAAGATCTTTGTACAAACATTCCTTGTTCTAATTGTTGGTCAAAAATTGCGCCATTAAGTCAACATTTCTCTGTTACTGCTTGAAAGCCAACCTTTAATTTTGGTCTAAAACTCTCCCCTCAAGTTTCAGACACCAACATCAGGAGACCTGTCAAACATTTACAAACCAGTGCTGATTACTCGTCCACCATTTGCGGTACCTGCCAGTCCCCTGTCGACATTAAGTGGATATGGTGCTACCCTACCTGCTATGACCACGCCACTCCCCACTCCATTGGTAAGACTTCAAATAAGTAATGCCCTGAAAGGTGGAACGCAAACGGTACGGTTTCCTCACTAGATTTCGCAATAAATATGCGGAATTCTGTGAACACACACGGTTAATGATCAAATGCTTTAGCACGATGGAGCGATCTGCATCAAAATCTTCCTTCAAATAAATATGTATGTATGTATATGAAGAGCTTGACACTCCGAATCTGGATGGCATTTTTTGCTATCACGTATAACATATATCGGAAATGTCAGTTCCATGTCTTCTGTGTCTGCTTCGGTAGAAAAAATCAAATAGTCTTGAATTATAGATAAGTCTGCTCATATTCAAATATGTATATGAATTTACGAATTTAAATATGTATTTCTAGACTAGAACCTTCTACAGCTCTGGTGGCTTTCACCTCATCGCTTGGGTTACGCTTTCGCTTATAAGCGGATTTTTTTTTCAATCTCAAAGGTCAACCTCGATTCTATAATGGGCATTGCTGGTCACTTATGCATTTTTTTATTAACTATGGACACTAAAGTTAATTGCGCTTGGCTTATATGTGGAACTTTGCGGGAGACCTTGCGCGTTCAAGAGTATGTTACAGCTTCCGAACACTTACCGACTTGAAGAGGTCAAGAAAGTAGTTACAGATGTCTCAGAGCAAAATCCAATGTAATGCTAACAAAAAAAAAACAAAGACGTCATTTGAATTGTCTGGAATCTATGGGTGACAATAGAGCAAACATTTCCTAGGAAGTCAGGAACTCCAAAGATAATCTGCAGACAGAGGAATAGGTCAAAAAGTGTAACGAATACCATATATCAAAGTCGAACAACAAAAACAACAGATTACATTCTACAAGATTGATTATCACACAAATGGTAAACTAAACATAATATAATATCCGTTAATCCTACTATTTGGTGTTATTATTTTATGGTTTATGCTTTTCCCAATGATTTATTCCTGTTTACAAAAGTGTGCAACTTCTAAATATAATCCTATCTTTTTGAAATTTGCTACTCATATCTCTTGTACCACCGAGACTCAGGTAACGAGTAGTCATGTGAAAATTGAAAAAACTCGCAAAAAATGAAATACTATGAGATGAAGAGATTTGATAGAAGTCAACAAGGCGGGTGCCATATCTGGAGGGGTGTCGCAGGCACAAGACAAACAAATGGGGTCTAAAAGTCCGTAGTACAATATTGCAATCTGATATAAGAAATCGGAGCCCAAAATAAAGCCCACGAATTAGGAAATCAAATTGGGAAACTGTACTGTCTTTGGTCAACCTAGATAGGAACGTTTTTCGGTTTTTTAATATTCTTTAGCCAACGTGGATAAGCGTATTTTGCTGCCTTTTCACTCGTAGCGTAGCGTAGGTATGTTTACAGTATTTGCCCAAAACTGACGATGCGTGGAAAGCCATTCGGCCTATTTGTTTCATTTGCACAAATGATCCACATAACACAAAACCGTCGAATATTTGCGAGGCTTGTCCACTCTGAATTCGCTCAGCGACCAGCACTGTTATTTTATGCATTTTAAATTGTTTTCTATGGCGTTTCAGTAAAAATACAGGGTTTGTCCGGATAGTAATAGGACTGAAAAAATTTATTGAGCCAAGCGTTACAATTCTTTAAAAACTTCCAAAATAGGCTCCTTCTGCGTCGATGCAGTGCTGCCAGCGCGATTTCCAAGCATTGAAGACGTTACGGAAGGCATTCTCCGGAATAGCCTTGAGAGCCGCGGTGCATGCTGCTTGGATCCCCGCTGTCGTCTCAAAATGCTTGCCTTTCATCGTCCTTTTCAGGCGAGGAAACAAAAAAAAGTCCGGGAGGGGCCATATCTGGGCTGTAGGGCGGCTGCGGAAGCGTTAGAATGCCGGCCTTGGTCAGGTAGCTGTTAACAAGAAAGGCGGTGTGAGCCGGGGCGTTGTCGTGGTGCAACTTCCAGTCGGCCGCGATGTCTTGTCGGACCCGACTGACCCTTCGTATGAGTCTGCTGAGCTCTTCCACGTAAAACTTGGCGTTGACGGTTTGTCCAGGAGGAACAAATTCATGGTGGACGATGCCTTTGATGTCTAAAAGGACACTGAGCATCGTTTTCACTTTGGATTTGCTCATTCTTCCCTTTTTTGGGCGAGAAGACGCCGTCGTGTGCCACTCGGAAGATTGCCTCTTTGTCTCGGGATCATACTCAAAGATCCACGATTCGTCACCTGTGATTACGTTATTCAAAAATTGTGGGTCACTTTCACACATGTTCAAATTTTCTTGGCACACTTCCACTCGCCGCAATTTCTGGTCGTCAGTGAGCACTTTTGGGACCATCTTCGCGCACACCTTGCGCATGTTCAAATGCTGTGTCAATGTCATGAACGACAGATTTTGGCAAATTTAACATCTGGACAATTAAACGAATACTTAGTCGACGGTCTGAGTTCAAAACTTTGCGCGCACGAGTAACATTATCCGTGTTTGTCGAAGTCGAAGGTCTTTCAGCACGGTCTTGATCAGCGACCTCTTCCCGGCACTCCAAAAAGGCCTGTTGCCACCGAAACACACCACTCTTTGCTAAAGCAACACCTGGGTAAGCCTGCTTGATCATATCAAACGTCTCTGTCGTTGATTTACCGAGTTTCACACATAATTTAATCGCGTACCCCTGCTCTAACGAACGCTGCATTTTCGGCTTACACCACTCACAGAAACACGTCGCGCGAAAATGCCTGTCTTGACTCTCCAAGTGCTCGGAGACAACTGACCAGCCGCTCATTCGTTAGCTAGGAACGCCCTCTACCGAATCCAGTCGGGGTGCGCACGCTCCGAAGTACAGTCATGGTGGAAGAAAATGAGTCCTATTACTTTCCGGACAAACCCTGTAAATAGATTCGGCTATAGATTTTTCACTTGACACCGTTCGTAAAAACTAAAAATTGCAAGTTGAATAATTTTCTCAAGACTATTTCCAATGAATTTTCCATTTTTGCTCTGGCTATTAAGCGACATTTTCATATTTCGTTTATATACACTTATTCAATCACAGAACACTTCATCTATCACGATACAGCCATGTCTCAAAGGCAAGTGATGTCAAAGTTCATTAATAGACACTAAGGTTGCCCTTCGGCAGCCCGCCGCAGATAGTGCTAGTGTTAATGGACTTCGATATAAGTATCATTTGAACCATGCATTTGGGTAAAGTATTATTGAATTTGGATTTGTTATTTCAAGCTACATGCTTACCCATATTTCTTACAGCCAAATTGTTATTACTTCAGCAACTGTTTGCGGCCTCAGTCACAAGGAAACCCAAACACAATCAACTACATTCAGAGTCAGGTATGAGCATTTAGTCCATGTATGTTATTGGGATGCACAATTATGCCCATAAAAGCTCGAGCACATGTAAATTCTTGGTCAATTCACAATGCGCGTTGTAGCTCAAAAGAATTTGGGAAGAGTTCGCCGATCAGAAAGTCCAACTACATTCTGTGATACAGAGGTCTGACAATATTCGTGTAGTTGGCTAGCGCCGAAAATTTACACACGTTCGAGCTCTAAATTACAAAAGTTCTTTAAAGGCGGACATAGAGACTCATTCTTTTCGTAAGTTTTACCTGAAGTCTTAAATCGTCATGCAAGTTGTAAATCCTTCGTTTCCATTGTCGCGTTCCATCAATTGTTTGGTATGAGCAAAATCAAGGAAAGGCTAATTTTTGCGCGTGTACCTATTACTTTTATTACTTTCTTGTGTAGAAAACTTGTGTGTCTGTATGCTTGACGGCCACATGACGTCGGATACCACAAACACCACATATTGCATGACGACTTAATTGCAAGTAAAACGAGTAGTAAGAGTGTCTATGCCAGCCTTAAAAGTTAAGTATATGAAGTAAATCTTGTTTTTAGGCGTTCCCGAATCTTGTTAATCCACAGCCGGATCAACTACATGAATTTTATCCCGACAATAATGAAGTTCAACCATCAATAAGTTTTTTTCCACCTAATACTTGGTATACTAATTAGATTTTTATAAACATTTTACGTTTTTATTCCAGCGAGTATTATACTGCTCAATATTTTTTTATTTTGATAATTTTAGTGATATAGTATTTTTAGAAGTTTTTGTTATTTTAATATCGCGTGGCAATCAATTTTCACTTGTTTTGCATGTACATCAATTTTATGTTAGCACTGTGTTTTGAGTTTTATTATAACCATTTCAAAAATGAACTGCTGTTTATTGTTCCAAAATCTTTTTGAATCACAGTTGGCTAGTGTCACATACTGTTGCTGGAAATACACTTTGCACAGTGAACAATTGAATAATCTCAGGTTAACATTAAAAATAGTACCTAATACATCTATGTATATATTCTTAACTGCCAACTACACTACACAATATCAGATACACTACATTCGATTTTATAAGATTTAAATACAATATTTTCATTATATGGTCACACAGCTATGAAACTCCTGCAAGTATAAAAAACGGCCGCCATTTCGGCGGAGAAAATACTCAAAAAAGTTATTTACAAAATTTGTCGGCAACTTTACGCTCCTAACTTGGAACATATGCCGCTCTCCACAGGGTGATTCACAATTACATGATAACAGAAACACGTTTGTTGTTTGTTGTTTACAATGAAAATGCGATAGCTTGAGATTATTGTAGCAGCAAAGAATGCCTGGTAAAAGTAAATATTTTTCTGTTTACCTCCACCAGTACAAATTTATTTGAAAGGTTTTTCATGAAAAAAAATGTCATAAAAACTTCGTCCCTTCTTTTTGGACAAACACACTACACTTTTATTATTGGTTCGCACAGACTATACTATCAAAATTTTTACTTTAAAGAATATTTGCTGCTGGCAGTGTATGCGGCAACACTGGCTGCTGCTGACCACTGACACCTCTTTCAATGATGTAAATTGCCCACTAATGTATAATGTAAAATATGTCATACACAAAAGCAATTAATTTGTTTTTGGCTGTAAATTATAAGGAAATAAAAAGGTATGGCGAAACACAAAATGAAAATTGATGGTAATAACAATAATAATCATAAATAAGCAGATATGTTCAAAATGATGTCCGCTATTTTGTAGGCAAAGCATGACTCGGTACATTATTCCCTGCTCGATTCATTTCTCTTCCTCTCAGTTTTTCAAACTCCGTTATTATGTTCAGTTTGAGGTGTGGTGTGGTATACGAAACAACTGAAATTTGATAATTTCAAAGTCCACGTAGCTACGTAAGTTTTGGCAATGTCACTGAATGACATATTATTTTCTAAAATAATAATTCTACCCATTTGTACAAAAATCCAATACATATATAAAAAAATAAAGTTACTCCTGGAGGATAAGAGACGAAACGACATTAAAATTCTAATTAGAGAGGAGAAAAAGTGTCAATGTTACCGTGCAATTTATTTAAAAATCCCACTACAAATAAAGTCAGGAAAAAATTAAAACCACTTTGCTGAAAATTCCGTTTTTTCTATCTCTGTCCAAAAGTACTATGAATTTCGAAACTGTCTAAGCGGCATTTCATTGGGGACCTTAATACGCAACTTTTCCCCTGTTTAAGAGACTTTGAATCTCTTACAGTTTTCGAGTTCCCAATGGAGATGGTCGAATTTGAAACAAGTATACGCAAATCAAGGACTTGGCGTTTCACACTCGCTTACAAATAAACTAAAACATCTGGTGGTCTGATGTCAAATCATTGATAACGAATATCTAGGGTATATGGCATACTCTCTTTGGTAACGGGGTCAGCTTGATACTAGAAATCGTAAAATATTTTTCACAGGTTAGCGTTCATTGTCAGCACGATACCCCTAACTGAAAACTAAGGCTGTTTTAATTGCTAAATCACAGAGTGTGGAACTTAAGCCAGGCCAGTTTCAATATGATACAAATATGTAATTCTTGGCTCCGTACGCTGACGCCATTTATCTATTTGTCAAACTGATAGACTCAGCTGAATCCAATAAATAGCAGATTTTTCTTGGTCCATTTGAGTTTCAGATGGGAGTAAGGTCCTATAGTTTGTTGGTTGTGTTTTTATTCTTTTCTAATTGTTGGCCGATTATTGAAATAATCAAGGAGGATAGCAACACGAAGTGCTTAAATTAATATTTCATTCAGATTCAGGAACAGTGGCAATATTTCAAGGGCATAATATAGATGAAAAATAGAACATACAATTCATATAAGCATGGGCCCTAACATATCCCCTCACTGAGATACAGGGTGTTGAAGTCGTTGAAGAAAGAATGAATCTTTGGAATGAAATAAGCTATTATTATACTACTACTATTATTATATTGTTTATGAGGCATTAAGTTAATTTGCTTATAGGAACTTTTTTTTCTATTTTGCCCTCATTTTTTGAGTCACCGTCGACACCCACCATTAGGATCTCAGAAACTGTAAGAGATACGGAGTTGCTTAAATGGGGTCAAAGCTGCGTCTTTAGATAATCAACAAAATGCCGGTTCGAAAGTTTCGAAATTCAATATAATTCCTGAGAGGGACGGAAAAAACAGAATTTTCCCAAAATCGTTTTAATTTTTTCCTTACAATGCCACTGACTCTCCTCTGCAAGATGGCATAACTAAAATTTCAATATAACGTTTCGTTTCTTGCTCTCCAGCATCAACTTTATTTTTTCTTATTTTATTAATTCTGATTCTTAAATGTATAATACGTTGAACATTGACGTTGACAAACCTTAGTTATTTCAAAAAGGCAGAATTTCCTATGTAGGCCTTGAAATAATCAGATTTCATTTGTTTCGCCTACCAGATTTATCCCAAAATCACTTTTATTTTTTCCTTACTTGTTTTGAGATAAGACTCCAAAATAAATTGTATGTTAACATTGCCACTTTTTCTCCTCTACAAGATGGTATAATTGGAATTTCAATATGACGTTTCGTCTCTTGTCCTCCAGCATTAACTTATTTCATTTCATTTTTTCTTATGGACGCCATATTGGGTTTTTGGGCAAATGAGAGTTTTTTATTCTGATTTGAAAAATGTCATATATTGACATTGCCAAACCAAAAAAAAGTTATTCCAGAAAAACAGAATTCTAGGTAGGTTTGAAATTATCATATTTCATTTGTTTTCTATATCAGACCACATCTCAAATTGAACATAGCAACAGAGTTTGGAAGACTGAGAAGGAGGAAAATATATCGAACAGTGAACAATGTATAGAGGAGGGTCAGGCTTTGCCTACAAAATAACGGACAGCCATCAATTTCATCGGACAACAAGTTCATGGTCAACTAGCGAAATGCATCATGGAATTTAGGAATGAAAAATCCATTTAAATGTATAAATTCCAATATAGCATCCATATGAAAAAACAAACTTGGTGATGGAAGTCGAAAGAAGAAATGTCGAACTGAAAATTTGACTACGCCTCTTGTTCGGGAGAATAACAATGACAACATGCAATTTATTTTGAAATCCCATCTCGAATAAGGAAAAATAAAAGTGATTTTGGGATAAATCTGGTATGCGAAACAAATGTATGATAATTCCGGGGCCTACCTAGGAAAGTTTAGCAATATCAATGTATAACGTATTATACATTTTTGAAATAAGAATTAAAATTCCTATTCATCTGTGCCAAAATCGAATATGGCGTCCGAAAAAATAAAGTTGATGCTGGAAAACAAGAGACGAAAGGTCATATTGAAATTATGCCTTCTTGTAGAGGAGAAAAAGTGGCAATATCAATGTACAATTCATTTTGAAATCCCTTTACAAATAAAGTAAGAAAAAAATTAAAACTATTTTGCGAAACTTCTTTTTTCCCGTCTCTCTCCGGAAGTACTTTTTAAGCTGCAGTTTGTTGATTATCTAAATACGCAACTTCACCCCCATTTAAGCGGCTTTGTATTTCTTACAGTTTCCGAGATCCCAATGGTGAGGGTCGACTTTGAAAGACCCTGTATATATGTAATGTATACATGGTGAGTTGTATAGTGTAGTCTTGATCGATAACTAAAAAAAATACTGATTACAAAAATTGTAGCCAACAGTATGATCCTCATTACTTGGAAAATATTTTCATATATATAGGGTGATTCATATCTACGTGGTGACCCAAATATACATTCTTTTAATGGAAAGACCTACACTTTACTGCAGATTTGGATAGGTCCTTTTAAATCAAGCAATTTGATATAACATACTATAGGGTATTACTTTAGAACTGTTGAAATATTGGACAATTTATCGAAAAAAAAACTGTTGTAGCTAGAATACTAAATTTTTCAGCAGAAACATTCTAACGAATCAGCGATTGCTCAATATTTTCTTATGGAACACCCTTTGATTTCTCTCTTCAGAAGATTTTTTATGTAAGGTTATTGGGACTTTGTACGACTGGTTTTTGAGCTACCGCTAACCTTTTTGTAAATCAGATATGAAGGTTAATGAAAAATATTACATTACATTTGAAATTTAGCTGGTAACAGCAAATCGTTAAAATTGATACATTAATTAAAAATTAAATCTACCAACCTTGTGCAATAAAGTCGAAAAGTCAAAGTGTCCTAGTGTTTTCAGTAACTCAGAAACCAGTAATACTAACCCTTATAAACCTCGCCAGAAAAAAGCTTGTGAAAAGGACAATCAAAGAATATTAACATATGCAGGGTATTCCATTTAAAATTTTGAGAAATATGTACTTGATTTTGCGTTCTTCAGCGCGTGTATAAACTATCCAGAAAGTTAAAATAGCACGCAGACAGAGAAAATATGGGATCATAAGATTTTTCTGATATTTTTCTGATGAAAAATTCAGTACCCTAGATGTAACAGTTGCGGAGGTGAGAGTTATCATAGTTGAGTCTTTTTTTATGAATTGTTCAATATCTCAACAATTTGAAAATCAAACTCTATAGTGTGTTATACCAAAATGCTTTGTTTGAAAGGGCCTAGCCAAATCTGTAATAAAATGTAGGGCTTTCCCTTTTTAAAAGTTGTATATAAAACTCACCCCGTATATTTATTTCTCACCCATATTTAAATATATAATTCAATAATGAAGTTAGTAGGATTCAATTTTAA